AAGAAGGAGGTCGAGGCTGCTGCTGAATGGACAGAGTAACGATGACATTGACTTCCGAATCAATGCTGCTTTTCAAGCCTTGCAAAATGCATATAGACCCGACGCCACACCTCCAACGCTAAGAAGATTCGCGTGTATCTTGCATCAGTTCAGTCTATCTGTAGTATTTGACAACCAGTACTTGAAGACTATCCTTAGAATGAGGTACACCGACTCTTCCATCTCAAATGAGACAGTCCTCACTCATCGCAACGACATCGCCAATATATCCTAAGCCACCCAAGAAAGGCCAATGAGGTGGTTTGGACATGTTCTTCGACCTCCATGTCACGAGTTCGTTGGTACTGCCCTCAATCCGGTACAGTTACCCAATTGGAGCCGTCGAAGTGGGGGTCAACTCAAAAAATTTTTTGACACAGTATGTCAGGACGTGGAAGTTCTTCATGGACCTTTAGCATTCGGCCTCCGTCGCAGGTGAAAATAGCGGATTAAACTGTCCAAGTCTAATGCCGCGGATGGCCTGACCATTTGCTGTGCCGATGTAAACGCGAGATTCGCTTAGATTTAAGCTCGTCAAATTCGGACCTGCTTGACAAAGTGATTTAATTGAACAGCTGAATACGTGGGCATCTGAACTCGAGCGCAGTTCTAGACTGCGGTCTTGGTTCTAATAGACTGGCACTAATTGGTGGAATTTCACTTGGATGCCCTTCCACCGACTCCTCCGCCCTTTATCCGTAAGGAGTGTAAGCTATGACAGAACAGTCCAATTCACTCCAATTTTCAATAACAAAGTAACTGTCAATGTAACTAACAATAATAAAAACGTGTTGTACGATAGTGGCAATGAAGTAACATTATTCTAAGGTCAGAAACTGGCAAGGCTTTTGGTGGATAGTGGTAAGAGTGCATCAGTAATAGTGCCAGTATTACTAACATTCAGTTGCATCGCTAGTAGTAGTAGCATTGCGCCTATTATTGGACTGCTTCTATTGCACTGACTGCGACGGCCGTCCTCTCGGCCGAACAAAAGTTGCGCAACTTGAAATAGATACGGACACGGCTTGACCAATTAAGATGCGGCCTCGACGATGAATGATGGGAGGTTCGATCGAAAGATTGCCAAGCCGTCTAGTTCCCCCGGTCGTCCTAATCATGAAGACAGACGGCAGCCTGCGGTTATGCTTTGGCTATAGCAAACTAAACACAGTGACCACGAAAAAGATTCCTTTCCCTTACTTAGGATTGACGAACTTTAGATACCTTTTCTTAACACTAGATTTAGCCGTCGGATATTGGCAGGTAGAAATCAGGCTGTCTGACAGTGCCCATTGGTTTGGCTAATGCACCCAGTATCTTCCAAATACCTGTGAACCAAGTTCTCGCACAGTTCATCTCGAAGACCTGTTTGGTGTATCTCGACAACATCGTCGTACCAGCAAGAGACTTCAGAGACCAGTTGCATCATCTGCGTGTGGTATTCGACAGCCTCAAGCGGGTAGGTCTCATTCTTAAGCCGATGAAATGTATACTTCTGCGAGACAGGCCCAAATTCATAGAGCATATCATTTCCGCCTCCGGGACCGATAAGGATAAGATCATGGAAAACTACAAGTGGCCAGCGCCAAGCAAAGTGACCAAGGTTAGACGTTTCTCAGGCCTCAATTCCCACTATAGGAAGCTCATTAGGAACCATACGCATATAGCCACACCCATAAACAAGCTCACCAAAAAGGTAGTGAGAATTAAGTAGGTCACGCGCACTTTGCTGGCCTGTATTGGAGGGGATGCCTTGCGCCTGATCCCCATTAGTCCTTCTGACTCTTTCTTGACACCAGTCGCAGCTGATTCAGGGTAGATAGTGCGGTAGATCCAGCGCAAAAGTCTAGCATCACTTTAAACTAAATCACGAACGCTATTCTGAACTGCATTGCAGAAAGCAGGCAACACTGAACCCCGTTTCAGTCATCTTGAATCTGTCATGACACCGGCTCTGGCAGGTTAAGGTGGACAGTGCGGTGGACGGTGTGCAACGTCTATATTCACTTAAAACTAACCCCTGTCGCTAGTCACCTTTTCTGCACCAACTTGTCTGGAGCATATGGTGGACATAACCGGAATCAATGGTAGAACTATGAAGGAGGAAATATTGCAGGCGAGTGCGCTTGATAACCAGGAATGTATATGGTCTATTAGATATAGTAATGGGCAATCTAAGCATTAGACTTTCAAGCCGTTCTGAGTCCCAAATTAACAAATTCCCGTCCAAAAAGTTCCCAAGCTAAAGCGGCATTGCGTTACGTTTACTAAACATTGAAGAAACTTTGACCATGTTGTTAGCCTACGGATTACGGCTCAATTAATAACAACGGGAGGTGAGGACATTGTCAGTATCACATCACTGCACGTTTATAAGGCATCTAAGGACAAAGTACCCAAGCTCTGGAGCCAAATAAACCAACAACAGAAACAGTAGGTAATTCAAGTGTGTGCGAGTTCCCCATAAGACAAATAAGCGGATTTAAATAACCAAATTAACAGGAAACTGACGTTAGTAATGATTTTCGATGAAAATTAAAGGAAGTCGGATTTGTAGCTATGACGTTGCCTGGAAGGAGACAAATGTACCAACGCATTACGGTGCCTCAGAATCAAATCCAGACCTTGTTATTAGGTTATGTGAACTTAACATCATCATCCACGTAATCATGACCAA